CATTTTCTTTGAACACACCTCGTATTTATATATTTTAGAAAAAAGTTTTAAGCGTTGAAATTTCATTTTTGAATGAGGTTCGCACTGCGGTCCACATATACCGACTCAGATCGAATTTAAAATTGTGTTATATGGGAAATAGGCGAATTTAGAAAAACACGTTATATGGGAAGTGGACGTGGTTTCAGTTCAGTTTTGCCCATTTTCGTAGTACAATATAAAAATGTGACAATAATGCAACATACCGAATTTGGTTGAAATCGGTCGACGAGGTGCCGTAATATGGGATTTCACCTAAATGGCATTACCGCGCTCAAAGTCCAATTTGAAAAAAATATTACTTCAATTAGTGCAACCACTGAAAATAACCACTTTTTGCAGCTTGTACTATATGTTCATATATATTGTTTACACAGTTATTGCAGATAATTCATTAACAAAAAATTTAAAAAAAATTATTAAGCTCTCTAAAAGCTCCCGCGTTCAATATTTCAATCATATACAAATATACCTAATTCTAATTGATGCACTTTCAAAGTCTAGCTATAAATCTAAATAAATAAAGTTAATATTTATATATATTGTACATATATGGTGTATATTAGTATATATACGTACGTACATACAGTTATTACGTGATACGCCAATTATTTACTAATTTCAAGGATTTATATGCTAAATTAAAGATGATACCAGGCAGTGATGGTACGCCGATAAGCTTGAGTTTCGACGAGGGCGTCAATGTTATGCATACAAATATATACATAAGTGCCAACAATAGGTATAGCACTAGACATGTATGTACATATATACATTAATGAAAATGATACCTTTCAAAATCATTGTTTAGAAATCATTATTTAGAATGCAAAGTGCATTCCTTTTAAATGTAAAATTTTTTTAGGAGATTACAACAAAAATAGTTTCTTTTTAATTTTTAATGTTTTGTGAACATTCCAGAAATATGCGACTATACTTATATCGCCAAGTACTGCTAAAGAGGATATTAAGTGCACTTACAGTTCGAAAGTTTTTGTCAATATTTAGAACAATTTATCAAATATTAGAACAGTAAAGATCGTATAGCTCAAGTCGAAATACGAATAGGATTACCACTACTCTTACTCGAAGCAGTTGCGCTAAGGTGAGAAGAGGAAGAGTAGCTTAACCTTGCTCTCATAGCTTCGGAGCGTTTCCGCTCTAAAAACTATCCACGCAGCAACAATTACAAACCCTTGCTCTTCTTTTCGTTCGACACTGAAGAGTATTTGAAATTAGTTTGATTAACTTAACTCTAAGCTAAGGAAATCGAATGTTTTTGAATTGAATTATTAATCAGTATCTTTACCATAAGTGCCAAAACGGCTGGAAGGAAGCCTAAAATTATATGCACTTTCAGGTTTTTTCTAATGTTTGTAGTGTTTTGAAAGCTATATATATAAAACCTTTATGACTCAAGGGTGTTGTGAATTCTCAAGAAAAAAATTATATAAATTTACCCGCACAAAAATATGTATATTCTACTATTTCAGTAAAAAATCTGTAACGGAACTTCAAAATGTGATTTTTTCTCGTCCCCCTACGTGTTGTCATTCGGGAAGAACATCGTCTTCGATTTAGTCTGAAAAAAGATGTGCATATACTACCAATATTCATGACAGTAACTTGAAACGGAAAGAAGCATTCGGATAAATTTATTTAAAAAGGAAGAAAAATATGATTGTTTAACCAATCACACATATTTAAAATAGGTCCGACGAAGTAAAGCCGAGAGCTATCAAGATAATCAGAAAATAAAAAAAGTAAAATATTTCAAAACAATTTTTAATTTGCCGGTGATATTTTCAAACTGGAAAATTTATTCGAATAAGCCTATTAGAATCTTTATGAATAGTAATAAATAAGTACAACAAAAGGATCAAAATTTTAAATTAAAAAAAGTAGAGAATTAAACGAAAATAAAAATAAATAATGTCTAATGAATTATGCTTGACTGAATCGCATCGATTAGATGCGCCTGTAAATCCAGCCCATAGGAGGCTACGACAATTGGGTACGTCGGCAATCACAATGTCACTTAGCCACGTAAATAAAGTGGTATCAGATCAACAGTTGCCACCTACGTCAACGCAGCGGGTTTTAGTGAATATAAATAATTTAGGTGTGTTTTGGTTATTGCACTGAGGTTTTGTTGAATCATATTCCCATAGATAAAATTTTAATTTTTATTAAACAAAATACACATTAAATTTTATTATATTTTCATATAATAATGTTTTAACAATAAACGAAATTCTATACGTATATTGGAAAGCCTACCCACCAACACATTTTTGGTGAACTGAAAATTTTGGATTTTTTTTGAATTATTTTTGCAATTTACCTTTAAAATTTTTTTTTTTTATGAAAGAATTTCTGAATCCGTGTCTCAGCTGTGTGTCATCTTCATTGCACACCTGGTTTTCTCTTAAAAACTGAGTCATTAAAAATTCTTGAATGAACTAGTAGACCTATTTAATATTCACTATTGATTGATAGTTGATTGTTGACAATGACGTATACAGACACAATGTTGTAGCTTATAAAAGCGTATATGCCTAATACATAATTAATTAGCCTTGCAAATTTCCAGCAATAGACCGTAAAGTTTATATTATACCAATTTATATGGAATTTCTTCAACGAACATCGAACGGAAATGTTTGCCACCAGGGGAACCACTTGCATAAAGAAGATATTCTGGGATTTTTTTTCTTCGATAATAGCAAATATTTCAAAATATATTTTGTAATGGTTATTACCCATTCTTTAAAAATAATCAAAATTCCCAGGGCTTATGCCAACCTCATAGAAACCCCGTCCCTATTGGCGATAGACTGGGACAGTCGGTTTTCACAAGTTTCCTTTGAGGCGAATTTTTCTGCAGTAAAGTAATTCACCCACGCAAGTTGTTTTTTTTTGTTGTTGTTGATATATCTTTATTTATTGAATCTGCTTGTTCAAAGTCTAACAATAACGTGGAAGAGATCAGGTGGTAAACACTTTGTGTCTGGTCCAAACTATAAGGTAGATGCATAAATACATCTCAATCAAGCTGCCGGAGCTTCTGGAAGTCACTATTGTGGCATTTTCCTGATGGAATCTCCCCTTTTGACCAAAGCTTACCACTTCTGGGCGATTGCTTCCTCCAGACGGTCCAATTTTTGACAGTACAGATCCGAATTAAGAGTTTGGCCGTAGGAGAGGAGATTTCCTTCCAATTCCAACTTTCATCACCAGTACACCCGATTCTGATATGCAATGATTTTGTTGCGATCCTGCCTTATTTAAATGGTACCAACCGTTTTTTTGTGTCATGACGTGTGCCCGTGCACTGGAAACAGAGCTTACATGACGGTCGAACTCGACGATTCTGGACGCAGACTAATTTCTTTAAGAAAAAATCGTTTTTTATAAAATGTGCTATTTCACAACAAATAATAGAAAATTACTCAAATTTTTTAAACCGTTAATCTTGAAACAAAGATCAAGTATGTTACTGAAATTGTCCAAGTCTAATAAAAATGGGAAATTATTTATATTTCTCGAAGTTTCACAGCACTTACCAATTCGTTAAGAGTTTTACATTATCTAATTCTGGGTGTACTCAAATATTAATGCCGCAAATATATGCAAATAGTTGTTAAACAATATCAGCACCTTCTCATTAGCTCAAGTTCATTCAACCGATCGCTTCTACTAAGCGCAAATGTCATTGCCGTAGCTGCAATTTACGCTTGTGTAGTAATGAACATCTCAAATTCGTTGCAATTACAAATCCGAACACAGCATATTATACTACGACACGCTAATTTCGCATTGTGTTTAATTAACGTGACACTAAAAGGCGCTAATTACTAACTCGACAGTGGCGGCAGAGGTAAACAACATTTGTATTGATACCAAAGTATATAGGCAATTGCCTGCACACGTCCAATTAAAAGGCATTTCTATTGACACAACAACAAAGCAGTGTCCACACGTAAGTTTTCCAAGTCATCTAGCGCCTAGCCGATGTCGGATAATTACGTGAATTCAGTTAAAACTAATATTTACGGCTAAGCGAACTTTTCGAACTCGATTTCGAATTAAGTGGAAATTACAAAGTCATAAGTACAAGCTTTAGAAATAACCCCCACCATATAGTAAATGCCCTTAATGAGTCACGTCCAGCGTGTGCGGTACGTACAACGACGTGTGGGAAAACGGGCCAAGGATCAATGATCGCGGTGTCGCGTTAGACGCGTACATTGCGCGCTGTACGGGGTAAAACTTTCATTTTCATTGAAACCGCATGGCGGCAAATAAAAATGTGTTATAAATGAGTTTTTCTACCGGTACGAGCGGGTACGCTAGCGATAAGTGTCGATCGGCAATGATATTAACATACATACATACATATTTTTACCGAGTTGTACTATACGAATGAGTTAGTGGCAGCCCGGCGGGTTTGACTCGCAGCTGTAAGACTGACAACTTCGATTATCTGTCGATAGGCGCCAAACATGCTAAGCGTATGTAATGCCCGTGATTTACACGAGATTCACAATGTAAAACAAAGCGCTATAAATATGAATGAATGATCACCGGTAATCACCGACCGTCGGCGGCGCTCCCGCAACTCGCTTGCACGACGACAAGTTGTTGCTGCAGTCGGAAAAGGGCATACGTCCCGTTAATTGTCGGGTTATTAAGACAATCACATTACGAAAACAGATAATTTATTGTTAACACAATTAGCCATAATTTGAGCGTTAAGCAGGCAATGCCAGCGAGGCGTTAAATCGGCAATAAATGCCAGGCAATTTTAATGAACCACCTTTTTCAGTTCCCACTGCAATTTTACAAATCAAAGCTATTACTCAATAGCCAGGTTTAAAAGCTGGTGTAGCGAATTTCTTTGGGAACTATTTCATAGCTATGTAATTAATCATTAATTTTTTCATTTTTTATTTTCACAGATTTTTTACCTAAATTTTTTACCAAACAACGAAAAGGACGTTACTTGAAATTTCAGAACAAATCAAAACAAAAATAAGCTCAAAGTCAACTTTGATTAATTGCTAAACGAAAGTTAAACGCACTGACCTCGACCCCTTAGACTTTGACCGCAGACAGTTCTACGCGCGCGCGGTTCTCCTTTTTTTATTCAAAATGAGTATTATCGATAGCGGACGTTACCGGCTGCGCAAAGATTGGGCCAGCGCCTCCATACCGTCATTGGTCGACATCGATGAACATGTGAGTGATGAGGTAGAGAATTCGCTGAATATTACCACACCATTGCCACCACCAAAGCCACCACGTCGCAGCTCATTGGCCTTGGGTTTGTTCTCGAGCAAAGGCGATAAGAGTCAGAAGCGACGCAGCTCGATTGCGGTGTTTTTACGACGCGACAGTAATAAGGTGAGTACATTTCATACTTATTATTTAATAAATTTATATATTAGTGTAGAAAAATGTAAAGGATTCAGCCATCAGAAAAGTCTGTATTTAGACGATAGTATTACAAACGCCGGATTAAGTACGTTCGGTTTAACGACTTGGGCTCTGAGCTGAGTAATGGTCTTCAAACGAACTATTTTGTGTGCTTGCCTTAAAACTTACTGATCCCGAGTAGAGCCAAAAACAGTCCTTGTCCGTACAAAATAAGGGTAAATCCCGCTATCGCAAAACCTTATGTCGTTTGCATACAAGGAGCCTCCGCATGCCACTGACGACTCTGGCAGGCCCCCTGAAGTTGATTAATCTCGTTTCCTCAGCCTACTGTTAGATGACTTCGATTATAACCTCCCGTTCTTTCAAAAAGGATTATAGGTAACCGATAGCATATTAACAACAACGTGCCTCTAAACGTTTTTGCGCGAAGCCTTCCGAATTAAGCCGAATAAAAGAGAATAGAATCATAGATTAGTTGTAGTGGTTTTAGCACGTTGTAAATTCGAGAAACTTTTTAAACTCGACTGGCTCAGGTAAGCTGTTTTAACAGTAAGATTTTCCGGCACTGATTTTTGAGGTTTATATTAAGCTCGGTTTGTAGTTTTGGCCTATCCTACTCGGTACTGTTGTCAGACCTGTCAACGGTTTTCATATCATTTAAATTTCTTTTCACAAAGATAAAGGTGATACGCTAAATTGAAATCTTTGCTTTGGCGATAAGCAGCACTTGTTATGATGTTCTTTGTAAAAAAATAAGCTTGTTCTCTTTATATTTTATATTTCCAAAAGTACCGTAGATTACTTGTGGTAGAATCATTGGCTAATATTAAAAGATCTGAGCGTTCTTCAGATCTGACTATATGGATTATGTTTCAGGTTATCAATCCAAAAAGTTAAAATCGAAAATATGCATCAACCATTTAGACCATTGAATCTTTAGTTTATGAGTTCTTAGGTACACACCGAAAAATTGTTAAATTTCGATAAAACATCAAACCAAAATTTATCCTTCAATTATATATTATATATAATAACTTTTTTCAACCCAGACTAATATTATTCTCTTTTACGCTTTTAGAATTCAACCAAAGATTCATATGAATCAGCTGTGAAACACGAAAAAAGCGATGGCTCCAACACACCCGCTAGTCCGGAAATTTCCTTCAGTTCAGCAGAGAATGTGCGCGCCTCGTCACCCAATGAACCGGGAAAAGTAACATATTTCGATGATGGCTCTAGCCTAAGACCCATTGTAAAGGGTATAAACAATATTTACGATTCGCCCGTTGACAAAGAGCGTAATCGTCGACGACGCAGTTCACTGCAAGCCAAATTGGAGCGCCATCGTCGCAAGAATAACGACATCAGTCAATTGAGCATAGACAACAGCCTGCCAAGCGGCTCACAAAGCGATTTGACCAATGGCAGTATGGGCGGTAGCGCTATCGGTGCATCGTCGGGTGATCTAACGTACGGTGATATCGATCCGAATCATTCGGCATATTTTCCGCGTCAGAAACGTCATTCGTGGTGGAATATTTTCGTGCCAGACAACTTGAAGACCAGGTGAGCGGGAGAGAATGACATGTTTTTCTAATTTAATACTTTATGAGTAACAAAATGGGGCACTAAACTAAAACTGTTAACTCGATAACTGTGTTGTGTGAATTTAAAACTGCTAATAACTGCGAGTGTACCTCCTAACATTCTAGCACTTAATGATATTGTGATTTTTGGTTTGCACTTTGCGCTGTAAACGCGAGTTTATTGGTAATTTTGCTTTTTAGCATTTATGAATACGAACAAATATTGATTTTGAAAAGTATTTCCCTTTAACTCGCAAATTTTTAGAGTTTAAAAACAATAATGCTCAAAGAAAAAAATTATAAATTCAACTCAGTACCATTAATCTTATAAATATAATACGTTACAGTGGAGTTTACTGATCAATTTGTTGCTTATCACTCAAAATTCGAGTTTCAAAATATAATTTTGAAGCTTAAACTCTATTTAATTGTTTTAATTTTGGTGTTTATCATGTAACGGTACCTACAAATATGTAGTGTACAGAAATTTTCGATTAACTCGCCTTAAACTCCACTCTTTTCTATTTTTGGTGCAAATAGCACTTTTTGGCTACATTATTTACAGTTTTGACAGTTGCCCACATAAAAACTTCCAAATAAAACTTAATACCGTTGAACTCGTAAACACAAAATGTTAAACTCGAGTTTGTGGCGCAACGTGCTCTTAATTTTTTATGAATTAACCAAGAAATAGGTTGTCGCAATGCTAATAACGGCATGTGCTGTCAGATTTACTGAACGAATTGTACTGGAATGCCATATTGTAAACTTTTACTCTAATTATTTTTATAGTTTTTTTTTTTTAATTTCAATGCCTGTTTCGTGCAAATAACCTTTTACGAAGCTTTAACCGGGTTCAACTATATTTAAATACAACTCTTCATTTGCGTTAAGACACATACACACACATAAATGACTAACAAATATTAAATTGTGCGGAGCGATGCTGCCGAGTGCAAAAGAAAGAATGTGCACGTGTTTAATTGAATGTGTTATAAAAAAATATATACAATATATAAGAAGGTTGAAAAAATGAAAGAGAACCAGTATTTTTGCACTTTAACGGCTTCGGCTCCCGCTTTTCACATTTTTATGGAACTTTTTTTTCGTATATTAAGTCGTGTTGTGACATGAAATTCATGTGAGCTTTAGGTTGTGCCACACCTCTTTATATGGTTATGACGGTTTTGGTCGCATAATTTAATATCACCTTTCTTTTGGTTTCACTTATGGCAGTTCTTCTCATCACACAAATGATTTCCGCTCGTTTGGGTGTCACTGAATTTTTTGTTTCTTCGGAAATGCTAATAATAGAAATTGATTATATATACATACGAGCACAAAGGAAACCCGTAAATGGTGCTCATAAATTACTACATTCCGTAAGAATCGTTAAGAACTATTTTTTTTTCAAAACCTTTTAACTTTTTAAGTGTGAGTAGAGTTGCTTAAAGTGTTTATGCTTTATAAGATTTAACACTTAAATGTTAAGATTTCGTTATGACAATGTTTTAATTACGTCGTAAAATTGCCTATATGTAAATCTTTACAACGCCGACATGATGAACTCCCCGAATATTTTTTTTCTGTTAATTTTCAAACACAAAAGTGCCCTTAATAACGTTCGCTAAACTATTTCCACTATGTTCGTTGCAGAAGATAAAATACATACATATTCATTGACCCTTCGAAGTGCGCTCAATAAAAGAGAGGGTTATAAGCGCTTTGCAATAATTCAACATGTATTAATACTACAATAATATAAATAGAGAAATTCGAGAAATTCCCTTCGTTCTAAATGTAATCACTGTAATAATAGCAAGAAAAATATTTTTCGAGACTTAACTGCTATTCTGGCTTGAAGCAAATTGCTGTAGTCAGGTAGCGTGAAGCTTCAGCTTCGATCCATAAATGAAGAAGATCTTGTCTGTAATATTCAGTAATTTTTTTTGAGGGAAGATAAAAAGATGATTATAATAAGTAAAAATAATCTGTCAACAACAGGGGGGCCCGGTGTATCCATCCTTCAGGCAACAGAAGGCGGTTAAATATTTGTGAGGCTCTATCTTTTTATAACCTTACAATAATTATAAGTGGTTTCTTACTTGTATTAACATTTTTGTTATTATTAATATGTTTCATCTTGGCACTGTGGGATAATATATGTATACATATACATATATAAATATATGGTATAAAAACATGGAAATTCGATATGAAACAGTCAATTCAACGATTTACTCAAGTGAAACCAATGAATTATTTTTCTATATTATTAAAATCGGCCTATATAAGTACGAGGTGTGTTCAGAAAATAATGGCGAATTTTAAATTTTCACGGGTTTGGGATCCAATTGTCATATCTTTTATTTTTTTAATATACATGACTCTGAAGCACGATAAAGTTTTCAGCTGTAACCATTGCTTACTTTGTTTGTAGCAGCCGCTAGGGCTAGACGTGTTTTTATTAGACGTGAGGCGATGTTCGTTTGTTAACAGCTCACACTTCGTTGCTTGTTTTGCAATTTTTGGCCAACATGGCTTCATGTGACTTTTGCCTCTTTTCAAAAATAAAAAGAACCTTAAAGGCCCATCGTTTTACAAGGTAGAGGAAAATCGCTGAAAAAGCTAAAGGTTTGAAAACTGTTTCGACGATTTGAATAAGCATTGACATACTTACATAGTATGTCAGTGCATAATGTCGAGTGTTAACTATTTTGAAGGCGACAACATTAGTGTAGACGAATAAATAAATATTTCTTTTTAAAAATACAAAACTCTCGTTATATTTAGAACACATCCTGAATAGTTATATACCTTCCTTTGTATCTTGGAGGCATTTTCACAAGTTCAATTGCTGTAAGCTGTAATTAGATATGAGTTTAAATAGCCTCTTCTGCGTAAATAAATATACCGTATTATAAATTTACTCGAATACATACATATGTATGTATTTATGTATATAATATATGTATATGTTTACCATATATTATACATAAGTATATGTATATTTATTGCGTTTTTCACTCATATATTCATCTAATGTTCATATATCTGTATCGTGTATGTATGTATCGTGTTTATTGACTTAATCCAATGATTACAGTTAGCCACTATTGTTCGCCACACAATGAGCTAATCATTCAGGTGTAACGGTATTTGCTAGCTATCAGGCGTATGATAATTTTTGCGCAATCTTTTAAGTCTCACGATATACTTAACTGTACATACATATAAATTTATCTCATGTCTTAGTGTGCTATTTGGCGCATTAAATTCATTTCATAATTAAATAATTTGTAGCAAAATACATAAATTAATACTAATTTGCAGTATAAATTAATATTAATTAATTTGTTCCATAATAATCGTGATACAACATATGTATATACAAAATTGATAGTACTCGCATAAAATAAGCTTAATTACAATAATATAATTTATTTAACGCTTTCAATCAGTTTCATAAAATTAAGTAAAAAAGCCAATAAAATTAAATCATGAATTGTGTTAAATATGTTCTGTAATAACAAAAATATTAATATAATATAAAGGCAAAAGATATTAATAAACTATAATAAAAATAATAATAACAAATAAATAATATCACCGTTAGCTATCAAAGGATCAAGCAAGCAAAAATCGTCGTAATAGTAAAATCCAATGACTCTTTTTTGCGAGTTTAGTTAGGTTGCGAGCTCAATTAGGATTGAAAAATGAACAGTAAATACCAGTGAGTTTCAAACATAGAAAACATCTTACAAAGCACTCATATCCACAAACGCGAAATCGATTTTATTTGAGTTAAGTTCCACACCGCTTATAATGCAGTTATTCGATCAAGAACTTCCTTTCAAGTTATATATCAGCAAATATGTGACGTATCTCAATAAAATTGAGAGAGCCTGTTTATCTAATAACGGTGCATCTTTGTGCTTAAAATGGATAAAATCGGGTGAAAACTTGCCCTAGACCCCATATAATCTAGGATGGTATGTGATGTACCTTAATGAAACTCAGAGATCATCTTTTATATCGTTTATAATCCACTATCTCTCTTATACCTAATATAAGATTTTAAAACTTTAGGTGGCTTTATATCATATATATTGGTCAATACGTAAGATATCCTTGCAAAATGAACTGAGCGTATATAATTGGATGTATAATGCCGAAATATATGAAATTGGTTCACAAATTACCAGTGTAATGTCGAAATTTTATGCAATTAACCTTTTCTATACCCTACATAATTATGAAACTAATGTAGTCTATGACAGATACTATAAGTTAATATGATACCAAATTCAATTGTAATCCATTCACCATTCGAACAATGAAGTTACATACATATGCATATAAGTACTTATAAGTTTTGCCAACAATTAAAGGTATTTCCCCATTCTCCTGAAATAATGTCGTGTTTGGTAGTTGATAACGAACTATCTCAGCGACCAAAATATTATGAGTGCTTAAAAATCCCAAATGCAAGTATTCTTTTAAAAACCGATAAATTATGTCAAACATGTGTATGTATATCGAAAAACATTTTATAATCACACCCATAAAGTATGCAAAACAGTTTTTAAATATTTTCTGAACATACCTTCAATTAATAACAATCAGTTTATATTGCAATAAACTTTGAACATACAATTACTCTGTAAATAAAATGCATATGATCATTTATTTTAATTTCTGAGACGTTTCGGAAAAATGCCATTGCAAAATGCATAGACAAATAAATTTTCTTCAGTTTCAATAATCCTCATATGTAGATACTTAAAAGTAATGCCATGTAATTGTAAATCGCAACCGTACTTCCACTCGCACTACAATAAAAAGATGCAGCTTACCTCCTGAACAAAACAAATCAATTTTAATTAAGATAAGAACCAAATGAATCACTTTGTGGGCACTTACCGTTACTATTTATGAAAATATTTGCACTGCGAACTCACTTACAATAAACCGAGTGAA